TGTCTATAGTTGGGTCAGGCCCAGGTCAGGGACAGGTCACACGCTCCACTCTGCACTCTGGATGGTCAGGGGCTGTGGGGACCTGAGCTGAGCCAGACCCTGCCTCTGGCTGCTACTGCTACTGCTGTTGCCCCTGAACCCTGAAGTTTCTATCCCCACACCCCCAGCCCTTCACACATTCTGTGAGGGACCAATGGGAATACCCAGGTGCAGGAAGGCCTGCAGCCAGTGAGCAGAATTTTCAAGGAAGGTGTCATTTTGCATTTATTTCTTATGCTTTTTCTTCATGTCTGACCATAAACTTCAGACTATAGGAAACTTATTTTATTTGCCACTGTCAGGAAAAAAATATCAAATGGAGCAGAATTGGTTCTGGGCACTTGAAATGGAGCAGGAAGCAATTGTTAATCAGTTATCACTGGGAACCACAGCTCAACCTTATCTGGGCTTCACCCCACCCCACCATGCTGACCCAAGTGGGACAAACTACCTGTTCCTGAAACACGATTAAACTCTTGATCTTCTGTACAAACCACTCCTTCCACCAAACTATATAGAGACTTAAATTGTACTCATGCCCCTTCCTACAAAATGGCTTAATTTTTCCAGCACAGCAGTCTTAATTCCTAACTCAGTGTTGCCATCCCCAAAGCCCTTGCTGTTAAGGCTCTCCATGCAGCCAGCATGCACTTGGGCAGTGCCCAAGTTGTGGGTGTTGTCAGGTCTCCAAGGTGATTTGCACTGGCAACCCAACTCCACATTAAGTGCCTTCACCATTATCATACCATTTTTATTTTTTCCCTCGACACAGTGTTATTGAAATATAATTTATATACTATAAATGTCACTCATTACAAGTAGACAATTCAATGATTTTTGGTAAATTCATGGATTTGTGAAATAATCACGTAACTTGCTATCTTCACTCTTGCCTCCACTCCTAGAAAACTGTCAATAATTTTTAAGTCTTTTTTTCCTATGAGCATTTCCTAGGCATTCCAGATAAATAAAACCACAGAATTTGTTGTCTTCTGCATCCAGCTTCCTTCACTTAACATAACCTATTTGAAGTTCTAGGCAGGTGCCTGTATTTTGTTTCTTTTTATTCCACCGCATGGTTGTATCACTCTGATATTTGTTTACCAGTTGACAAGCATTTGGTTGTTTGCAGTTTGGAGATATTATGTACAATGTTGCTATGAATATTCCTGTGAAAGTATTTGTGGAGACACGTGTGTTTTGATTTAACTATTTTATTTTAATTCTTTAGTTTACTTTCTTTTCGGACATGCAGTTTTGTTTTTCTTGGGTAGATTCTGAGAATTGAAACTGCCGGGTCATGTGGTAAGTTTTTGTTGAATATTTTATAAATTTCCAAACTGATTTCTAAAAGGTCTCTAATTTTACATTCCTGCTGAAATGTGAATGGGTTTCACTTTTTCTACATCCTTGCCAAGTTTTGATATTATCTCTTTTATCAGCCATTCAACTCAAATTAAGTGGTCTCCCATTTTAGTTTTAATTTGCATTTCCCTAATGCCTGATGATGTGGAACATATTTTCATGTGCTTCATTACCATTCACAAATCTTTTATTTTTCCAAATTAAAAAAAATTAATTCAAAGCTCATCCAGTTTGTATATTATTATACTTATTAGTGTATATTAATTGTATTTAGACACATTCTCATTGTCAAACCCAGAAGCCTCTTAATCTTAAGCATCTCTTACTCTAATAAGGTGATACTTAAAATTAACCATTGCACCAGTTTATTGATTAAATATTTAAAGGTATTATTTATGTTACAATATCTTTTGATTTCTAGAATTTCCTTTTGACTCTTTCTTGGAGTGTCCATCTGCCTGTTGACATCGCCCAGAATGTATTCATAATTATTTCAGATTCTTGATCTGAATTTTTCAAAATGCCCACTAAATCTAAGCCTGGTTTTGATGTTTGCTTTTCCTTGAAGAAATGTTGTCTGATTCTGTTTCTTCTTCTCCTTCTCCTTCCTCATCCTCTTCTTTTTTCTTCTTCTTCTTCATGTATACCTTGAAATTTTCTGTACAAAGTCAGATATGATCTGCTGGGTGAAAGGTTCATAAATGTGCAGTGTGATGTTTAGTGTTTATCTGGTGAGGAGTTAGGCTGTGTTTGCTGTTTGACATTGCCATGGGTGTGACAGACTGTATTTCCTCTGGTGTCTTTATTTTTGTGTCCCCTCTTGCCTGTTAGTTTCCCAGTGGATCCTTACTGATTATGGACTGAGACGGTTCCTTCCTCTCTCATTATACAGAATCCCTACTGAGGTGGTGCTGAGGTGAGCATGTGGGATAGGAAGAATTCCCTAGTCTTAGAATTAGACCTCACAGTCTCACAGGGAGCCTGTGTCCTTTGGCTAAAACCTTCATGCACTCCCAACCATGACAGGGCAGGAATGAAAGAGGGAGCAGGGGTTGATGTTTGCCACTCCAAGTCAGTTAGATGCAGATAAAATCATAAAGATCAGCTCTGGCATGACACTTTCTCTTGTAGCAGCTTTTATAGAGTAGAACTAATACTCTGGTAATAGTTCAAAATGGTTATTTTCCCCATGCCATTGCCACAAACAGGGGTAGTGTTTGATTCTCTGGTCTAAAGCCTGAGAACCTGACAAGGCTCCTGGAGCTAGCACTCAAGGGAGTGAGGGGTCCCAGTGCTCCCATGGCCTCTCTGGAGTTCAACTCTCAAGTCTCCAGCAACTGCTCCACTTCAGTTTAGGTTTGCTCACCCAGCACTGGTGCCAGTGCCTGGTGTGTATGCCTCGGCTTCCCTTCAGGTAAACGTTGAGTCTCCAGATAAGAATGTCTCTGCAAATGTGAGGGTCACAGTTTGCCTGGGGACCTCAGTTCTCTGAGGGATCTAAGAAGAGCTGTGGATGTTCTGTTTGTCCAGCCTTCCTGTTTTGAGAGTGGGAGTGAGGACTTCCAAGCTCCTTCTGTTCCAGGCTGAAGCAGCATCTCCAACTGACCTTGGCTCACTTCTTGCCCTCCATAGCTCTTCTACAGTTGGTCTTCCAGTGAGCAGTAGCCTGTGTCCTTGCACCACCTGTGAGGGTAGGGAGGCCCTGATCAAAGAATTTCAAGTCCTTCCTCCTGATAATGCTCTCCCAATAGGGCTGCTTGAAACCCTGCTCCAGGCCCACCCAGTCACTCCCTCTCTTGAAGACAGTATCTGGAGCTCACATTTGGGACGGGTCATAAAAAGTCTCTCCTGCGTGACTGAGGCCGGGTTAGGGCAGCCTATGGGAGAGGGGGAAAAAGGCCTTCAAACTCTTTCAAAGTGGTATTGGGCTTACATTACTCTGCCACTACTTGCTTCTTATAACATCTCAAGTAGTTTCTGAACCTTATATGCTTCAGCTCACCATTCAAAATAAATGACACTGAGTACTTAAGTTGCTTCACCTAAAGAAAAACCACTTGGGCTGAAGCTGATATTTGGTGGATCTGTTATGTGGACTAGGTGTGAGTTGAGATCTCTTGGTTTAGAGTGTGAGAATGCCCACGGATCAGAGAATCTCCCAGCCCCTGTAATAGGAAAGACAATGCCCGGGTCCCCAGCACCAGCCAGCCTGAGGTTTCCATAGCACCAACAGGCCAGTGAAGGAGGTGGTACTCAGCACTGAACCACCCAAGCTCCCCTGACCCTGTGGAGAAGATGCATGGACCGCATGCTGTGCAAATAACTCATATGCAGACCACAGTTCTGAGCAGTCCTGTTGGGTGAAATCACCTGTTTTGTTGCCAGATGGAAAGCTCTTGTCTTCCACCTTCCATAGAGTATGGAGCTCCAAGACCCATCAAAGATGGTGGTTATACAATCATCCAGAGTTGTACTTTAGTAGAGGTGCTCTGGCCAAAGGCCAGGATTGTACTTAAAGCTCTACAGTGTCTTCACACTGGAAAGGCCATTGCTGAGCCTTCAGAAGGTCAAAGACAGGGAAGTCCTATTGCTAATGTTCATGAGAGTTCATCCATTCTCCTGTCAGTAAGGGTCCAGGAAATTTGAGAAATATCAGGGTAGGAAACATTTACCACTGAAACCCATAAATGGTGTCCAGTTTAAGTGACCATCTGCTAAATAAAAGCTCTCCCTTTCAACAAGGGATCTGAACATTGGGGTGGGTATTGTGAGGCCTCTGGGTTCCTGCTGGCTGCATCAAAACCTGTGTCCAGCATATTTTGGGGAAAGACAGCCACACTACTTTGAAACTTATTACTGGACCCTTAGTGTGGGATCAGCCTCATCAACAAGGTGACACTGGGATCCAACCACAAGAGGCATGTGGACACAAGGGTAGGTGTACCCTGGACCTTAGACAACAGGTACCATGTTAATGGGTGACTGGGGTTGGGAAAGTGGACAGTGAGTCAACCCCTGTATACATGCTTGAAGCATCCTGTAGATGCAGATGAAAAGCACACCAGGTGTCAAAAAGGGGGCAGAGCTCTGAAAATCGCTGCCTTATGAGGATGAGCTTTCAGTCTGGCATCAGGGCCTCCTCTCTGCTTCTTGACCAGATTCCAGCCCCCACCACCGAAATCTGAGAGACCTCTGGCTACAGGACAGGACCCATCGTCATCCCTCAGGTCCACTGATTCCTGGCTATTCCTCCTCCAAACTCCAGGAGTGCCGCACATCTACTGAGGGGAAGCACTGCCTCCCTTACACTTGGACACCAGGTGTAAAGCCTGGCCTTCTCTGAACAATCCGGTGCTCCCCAGGGTTGGAGCAGTCAGCCATGGTAGACAGACCATGATCGCTGCTTAGAAAGCACCCTGGCTCCCCAACTTCCTCATAGTCCACCCCTATGGCAGTGCTTTCTGCCCAAGGGCCCCTTGGCTGAAGATTCCTAAGAAGACCCTTTCCTCCTCCTTCTGGAAGTCAGATGACCAAGTGGAAGGGAAAGGAGAGCACTGAGGGACAGAAGGAGCCCAAGAGGGCAGCACAGCCAGAGGAACAGGAGGATGAGTCTTTTATTTGGGCTGGTTTGCTGAACTTGGCTTTGGGAGTGGCAGATGATGGGCAGGGAAGCTGAGGAAAGGAGCTGTTTAGATCAACAGTGGACTTGAGTGAGAGAAGCTGCAGCAAGAGGCCGGGGGCCTGGGCAGAGGAAATATGTAGGGCCCTGACAGTCACCCAGGGACCTGCTGCTGTACCATGAGGATAAATGGCAGAAGGAGCCAGGTCTGTGTGCACATGAGCGTGTTCCAGGGCCCGGGGCAGCCGGAAGCTCTCAGAGGCCGGGATGGAAAGTCTGTGGGAGGCGGGTCTGGCAGAGAACTCTGCTTCCTGACTTTACTGATCCAGTCAATGAAGTAGGCAACCCTGGTGAAGATGCTGGGGTAGATAGGATGCCTGCAGTCCAGGCCCCAGCTGGCCAGTCCCACCAGGACCCAGGCATTGGGGCCAGAGCAGACAAGAGGACCCCCAGAATCGCCCTGAGGAAAGAGAGAGAGGAGTTAGTATGGGGGCTGAGTGGGGGCAGAAATACCAGGTGACAATGTTGGACACCCTGGGCTGCCACTGTCTGAATCAGGGCCCCAGTGAAGGCCCATCAGTTCAAGCCCCCAATGAGGGACACCAGAATGAAGCAGCAAGAAGCTGCTGAGATGATCCTCCCAGTGGAGATCATGTTTCCAAATCCATCAGTACACAGCCCCGCTCTCTAGCCCCCGTGCCTGAGCTCCTGGTGGCCCAGGGCAGCACATATTGTGAGGCCGGGATGGACAGCTCTATGGACAGAATGGCCTAGAGCAGGCCGGGTCAGCTGACACCTCTGTGCAGACCCTGGCTCTGTGAACCCTGAGCAGCAGGGAGCACCCATCCTGCCTTGTTCTTCACTGAGTATCCAACTTCCTAGAATTTTGTAGGAACAGAATCACACAAGTTGTACTCCTATTTTTATCTGGTGTTTTTCACTAAAGATTGTTTCCTTCTATTTCTTTTTCTTTTTTTCAGTCCTGAGGATGAAAAACAAGACCCTCATATGTGGCAGGCCAGTATGCTATTACAATCATTCAGCCCCAGGACAGTTATTTAGTAGTACACCTGGGTAGCTGTGTGCACCATAGTTTATTCCTGTTTATTGCTGAGTAGTGCACTAGTGTAGGGATATTCCTTAGTTTATTTGTTCATTAGCCTGCTACTGATCTTTTAACTTTTTCTTAGTTTTGAATTATTACCCAAGAAACCTGCTGTGAATTGTCTTGTAGTCATATAGATGTCTTTCTTGGACATCTACATGTCTTGCTTTCACTTCTCCTGGGTAAATACCTAACATTACTATGTCTGGGTTGTATGGTAGAAGTGTATGCAGCTTTTTACAAAATTGTTTTCAAAATATTTGCACCAGATTACAATGCTACCATTCGGGTATGTTGAGGGTTCCAGTTGCTTCACATCCTTGTCAACAATTGACGTGGCCAGTCGTTTGAATTCAGCCATCTAATTAATGTGTAGAGGCATCTCACTGGTGTTTGAGTTTGTATTTCTCCAGTGCCTGACAATATTGAGAGGTTTTTTCATTTGCTTGTTTGACATCTAATTGAACTCTCTGGTAAAGGGTTTATTTCAATCTTTTCAAATCTTTCCATTTTGAAATAATGTAGGATTAGGCTAGATTTGCAGGATACTATAGAGGATCTACATACCCTGCACCTAGCTTCCTCTAGTGTTAACATCTTACATAACCATGGTACAAATACTTAAACCAAGGAAGTAGAGATGGTACAATATTATTAAATAAATATTCAGATTTCACTATGTACAAATATCCCTATTCTTTTTTTAGATTTTTTTTCTTAGTTGTAGTTGGACACAATATGTTTATTTTCTTAATTTTTATGTGGTGCTGAGGATCAAACCCAGCTCCTCACACACGCTAGGTGAGCACTCTACACTGAGCCTCAGCCCCCAAATATCCCTATTCTATTCCAAGATCCAATCCAGGATCCCATATTATCTTTAAATACCAAGTTTTATTAACCTTCTTCAGTCTCATTCATTCCTTCTTTTCTATGACATTGGCATTTTTGTATACTACCAACCAGATATTAATATTATTTTTTATTACCAGGGACTGAATCCATGGGCTTTTCACGACTGTTCCACATCCACACTTTCTTTTATTTTTAATATGAAAACAGTCTCCCTAAGTTGCAAAATGTCTCACTAAATTGCTGAGGCTTGGCATGAATTTGCAGTCAACCTCCTGAGCCACTGGGCTTACAGGTGTACTCCAACACACCAGGTGACCAGATGCCCCCCAATTATGGCTTACCCTTTATTTTTTGATGATTAGACAGCTGATATGAACTTACAATAAAAACCCTGGGTACAAATATAATGTTAAAATACAGAATAAAGCCAACTGTAAATCCTGTCTGCAGAAAATTCAGAATCAATTCCAAAGACTAAAAGGAAATCTGCTGGTTAGGGACAAGAAGGGAATGGAGAGTTGTGGGGAGGGCCGGTAACAGGTTGCATCAACGTCAGAAAAACCATCATGCTGTACACTTACAAATAACTCATCCTGTGTATATGCTACACATCAAAGTTTAAAACAGGCAACTAAAATGGATACTGTCGAGGGTCCTCACAGCAGACAGCTTTGTGCTGGGATGGGCTGAGGAAGGTGCTGGTCTGAAGGAAGGCTGATGAGGGATGGAGCCCACAGAAAATATGTAGAAGGAAGGAAGTTTGGGGTCTCCACAAAGACAGTTGAGGCCAACACAGGCCCTCCAGGGGAAACTGAGGCCAACAGAACAGGCAAGAGAGCAGCAGAGCCCGACCTTACTTACTTGGCAGATGGCCTTTCCTGTTGAGAAGTCCCCCCCACACAGCATCTCCTCCTGCACAGAGTAGTTCCTGCCTTCTCCAGGTGTTTGCCCATAGAAGGTATTGCAGATCGTGCTATTCATAAGACTCACCTTAGCTTCCTGGAGAGAGTAGGGCGGTAACAATGGCTCTGTGAAAATGAGAAGGAGGTGAGTGACATGCACTGTGCCTTAGCAAAGAAACCCAGACGACTCAGAACCCCCACTCTGCCTGACGCTCACCCCTACTCTCAAGCATGGGTTTCAAACCTTGGTTCAGTCTTCCATGCTAAGCACCCCACCTTTTTCTCAAAGCTGTCCACATACTTAGCCTATTCCTCCAACAACAGAACAACCTTTCCTATTCTACAAAGTGGCAAATCCCACTAATCACGTGACTCCACTCCCTGGAGTTCAGCAACCATTCACTCACCCACCTGTCCTCTCATGAACCATTCAGTCTACTCTCTACCCATCCATTACTAACCTTTTTGCCATCTCTTTATCCACTGACCTGCCCACCCACACGTCCACTCATTCACCCATTCCTCCATCCATCTACCCATCTTCCCACACTCATTCTTCCATCTACTCCCATCAGTCTCTCCATTCTTTCTTGCTTCTCCCCATCCACTAACACATACAACCACCCATCCACCAACTTCACCCATCCATCCATCCATCCAATCATCTTCCCTTCCAATTCCACATTCATCCTCCCATCTGTCAATCCATTCATCCATCCTCTCACCCAATCACTTATCTATTCACTTGTCCTTGTATAGGGCATCACGTGGGGACCTGAGTAGAAGTACACAGGATGGAAAATGGGAGAGAAATCTGGAGTCAACAGGCAGGAAACAGTGATTTCCTGTGCCAGGGTGGAAAAGAGCAGTGGAGTTCCCACCAGGTGCCTTGGGACACTGTCTGGGACATTAAAACAAGACTTGGATCTTGCCTTCAAGGAAGAGCCAGAATGTGTTTGGACACATATGTATGCCGGGGGCTGGCCATCCCATGACTAGGGAGTGTTCCTAACACTGGGTGGGCAGGTATTAGGCTTGTGGGCAGAGCACTCACTGAAGACATGTTCTGTCCAAAACACTTATAGCACCTCTGTTGAGAGACACAGAACCAAATGCTGACCCCACGGATAATTACAAACTTGTACTGTTCTTTCTTTTATTGAAAGTACACCAGAAGCATTTCCCTCGAGCCATAAACCATCCTTTCTTTATTAAATCATCCAGGCATAAGCCTTTGTCTATAATTCTCTTCTTTCAATCGGACAAGGCAACACAAAACCCCAAAGCTTTCTCCATTATGCACTTCACATGACAAGAATGTGAAGTGGACAGGATAAGAGCTACGTGAGCTCGCAGACGTTAACCTTTCCTAAGTTGGGATCACTCTGACTTCATCATGCAGGCTCTGGGGTCAGATGCCACATGTGACTTACCACTTTTCCCAAGCACCTTTCCAAGGATTCTCAAAGGCCTGTGTGTTTAAAGTTTGGCCCCAACCCGTGACACTACTGGGAGGTGCTGGAACCTTTAAGGAATGGGGTGTACAGGAGGAGGGTAGGTCACTGGAGGTGTGCCCTTAAAGGGGATGTCAGGAACCCGGCCCCTCCTCTGGCTCTCTGCTTCCTGAGCAGCACTGCTCCATAACTTGCTCAGGATGTAACGTCATCCCCATGTAACATCATAAACCATGAATCACAATAAGCCTTTCCTCTTTTTCAGTAATTATCTCAGGCAAGTTTGTTTTGCTTTGTTTTTACAGTAATGGAAAGACAACTAACAACCTGGAATGGGACAGCCCCCAGGAACAGCTTTGGAGTTCATTCAAGTCATCCCAAACCTTGGCTGATTAAACACTCAAATCAAAAGCCACCAAGACTCAAACAACCCAGATTCTTGATTCCAGTTGTTAAGGATCCCCGGATATTCAGGGACGGGGCCACATGGAACTCTGAAGCATAGAATCATACATTTTCAGAACTAAAAGGGATGTAGCACTTGCCCAGTCCTCATCTGAGAGAGCATGGAAATGAGGTACAGGGGGGTCAAGTCCAGGGGCTTCAGAAACCAGCCTGGGCCTCTTGCCTGGCGGAGCCACCCCTCTCATGTTGCCCTGATGCCTCCTCCTGTCCTTCATTTCCCTTCCTGCCTCTCCCAGGCCCCCTCACTCTTCTCGGAGAGCCTTCCCCAGCCAGTTATCCAACAGGACGTTTGACTGGGCAGCTGCATGTCTGCATGTGGGAGGCAGACAGGAACCACATAGGGTGTGAAGTTCACAGGCAGGTGCAGCTGCAACATGGCAATGTCACTCCCGAAGACATAGAGCTTCTCAAAGTCTGGATGGGTGATAATCTGGTTCACGAGCATCTTCTGGGTGTGCTGGGTGTGCTGGTACAGCTGGGTGTTCCCCAGGAGGACCTCATAGTCCTGTGGTGCCTGGGATTTGCTGGAGGAGGAAGGGCCCATTATCAGCATCGTCTCTGATTCTGGGGCCCCCACTCTTCCTGCATCCTCATCCCACTGCCACCCTGCTCTGGACCCCTCCTCCCTGCCCTGATTCCAGGCAGCTTTGTCTCCTCCCTTCTAACACTCAGGAGCCTTCTGGCTCCGGGTTGATGAACACTCAACTGACAACCTCAGGACGTAGGGCTTCCCACCACCTCCTAGAACTGGAGGAGCTGAGAATCCTGGTGCTGGAAGGGCACTAAGGGGTGCCTCAGATCAAACCCTCTTACTTTCCTAGGAGGAGCTCTGGATCATTACAGTGTTATGGTTCAGATCTTAAATGACTCCCATAGGTTCATGTGCAATAGGCTTGGGTGCTGGCCTGTGGCAATGATGGGAAATGGCAGAAACTGTAAGCAGCAGAAACCTAGTGGAAATCAGTTAGGTCATCAGGTTGGGGGTGCTCTTGACATGCTGTTGGGACCATGTACCCCTATTTGCTTCCTTGCTGCCATGAGGTGAAAGGGACTCTTCCACCATGTGCTCCTGTCACAGTGTACTGTTCTCCCACAGGCCTGAAACCATGTGGCCAAGTTTCCATGTAACAGAAGTACTAACTAAACCGTGACCCAAAGTAAAATTTCCTACTTTTAACTCAATTCTCAGATATTTTGTCACAGTGACAAAAAGCTAACTCATATACCAGGTCTCTTCCAATGTCGCCTTCTGATCCATCCCCTGGCCTAACTACCTCTAACCCACTCCCTCAGTGTTGCTTTTCTCCACTTGGAGGTAAATGCTCACAAAGAATTTCTTAAATGCACAAACGAGTGCACAGAATTGAAGTTCTCCTGTTTCTGAAGGGGAATGAGTAACTTCATGGCTTTGTTCACACAGTTCTCAGACCTGTATAGCCCCCATCCATATCACAAGCCCAATTCCTCCTTTAAGGAAGTCCCTTGACCCTGCCCCCCATAATGTAGCATCTCGCTGGACCCCTTCCCTCACATCTGCCCTCCTTGCCCACTTTGAGCTTCTTCCTGCATCATGCTGACTGAAGCTTGTTCCTTGTCTTCCTGAAATGATGGAGATACATCGGCATGGGATCCGCCACCCCCCCCCCCCCCCATGTCATGGAGGGTTTCAGGGGACTGTGCCCAGATTCAAGAGAAGCTAGCTGAGGTTTCAGGGACAGTAAGTGTACAAATTGCAACTCCCCGACCTGGGCTATGAGTCCGACGTTCCCTCTGGGTCCCTCCACATGTGTTCTGAAGTTAGCCACAGAGACAGGCCCAGGAGGGCCAGGAGAGTTAGACTCCTGACTGTCCATGTCATTCTCCAAGGCTGGGGAACCCTACACTCTCCACCAACGCAGCCTGACAGATGGGATGGGGGCAACTATGGCTCCTCCCAGGAATGTAGTTTAACAAAAGTAATGAAAGAAAGAATTTCGTTGCTGATCATATCTGGTCTCTGACTAGATTCGTACTCTCAGGAGTGTAGGGTAAGGTGCCAATGTTCTCAGGACACGTCCATGTCAGGGGGGACAGACATAGGGAAGAGGGGTCTCTCAGCTGGGGCTGAGGATGAAGGATGATAAGGACCCAGGAAATGAAGAAAGCACTGGGTGGCCAGTGGGGAGGACAGTCCAGGTGGAGCAGACAGTGGATCAAAGAAGAAGCAGTGGGCATTTGGTGGCAGCACACTGACCCACAGCAATACCCAGAGGAGGGCCATCCCCTGTGATCCCCTTCCTCCCCTGCCCAACCCCCTGTGAGGGCCCCAGGAAGCATAACTCACTTGAGAAAGCAGTGGGCTGTGGAAAGTAGCCAGAGGGCGTCAATGAGGACAGCTCCGCAGAGATGCTGGCCCAGGTAGAGCAGGCTGGCCTGCCATGGCCACTGGCCATTCACCGAATCATGGCCACCATACACCTTCCCTATCACCTTGGGCTTCCCGCACACTGTGGAGACAATCCCCCCACATCTGTTAGAGATACATGTGGTGTCCCATACCACCCAAGGAGGTCCCTCCTTCACTTCTCAGATGGGAAGGCCAAGGTCAAGGGACAAGTGACCAGCCCACATGATTGAGGGCTGTCCTGGCCTCAGACTTCAGTCATCACAGCCGAGGCCTAGATGGCCTAGTACAGCTGAGCAAGAGGCAGGGGAATATTGGTCTGGGGGTGTGGACAGGAAGGAGCAAGGTGAAAGGCTGGTCACAGGACAGCCAGGGGACTGGGAAGGATACCTTGGGGCCTCACTCCTTCCACCAACACAACTCTGTGCCTACTTTGCAGATGAGAGGAGTGAAGTTCTCTGGGGTTACTAATCTTACTTTTTCAAGGTCATAGTTTCTAGGCAGCTGTCTTCACTCCACACCCTCCACCCCAGTGTCATAAGGAGAAAAGACACAAGCAGGTCTCTGTAGTACTGTGTGACCTGGGGCAACTGACCCCCCCCCCATGGCATGCTCCATTATTGCTAAAGGGGTGGGGCAGATGGAGACCACTTTGTTTAGAAGACTTCTATGGGGGGGGGGGATCCATGGTCCTCACATTTGAGAAGGGTTGTCTTGGTCCCTGGCTGTGCTCCCAGATTTCTGGAAAGGGACCCGAGACTCCTGAGCCTGACTGCCTCTGTCTCTGGGCCCCCTACAACCCTGGGCCAGACCCGGGCCCCCTGTCCTCTTCCACAGCCTCATACCTGAGCTCTGGCAGGGATTCCCACCCATAAAATCCCTGCCAGATTGGGGAACCTGACCCACCTTGGGTGATGTCATCTTCGCGGCCGCCTGCTTCACGGTAGAGGCAAAGAGAACACACCGGTGGCTTCTCCCTGCCTGCCCGGGCCTGCTCCCGCCCCCCACCAGCCTTCCCACCAGCCCCGACTTCAAACGGACCCTGGGCCCCGCCCACATAGCCCCAGAGCCCGCTGGCTATAGGCTCCAGGTCCTCCGGTTCCCCTGTGAGCTCATCTGCGTTTCCTGGGGGCTGCGAGGGACTAGGGGAGGAGGCAGCCTGGAGTCGGAGAGACAACAGCAGCAACAACGGCCGCACAGCCATGAGCCTGGCCCGCTTCGGGTCTGCGCCTGCCCTGGCGCCCATCCGGGAGTGCTGGACTGCGGGATGACCCCGCCCTGCCCTGGACCTACCCATGCGCAGATGGTTCCTGGCCCTGCCTGAGACAGGCACCAACACTCCAGCTACCGCACCCCACCCCCACCCTGTCACCTGCCTGACTCTGGCCTCACCTGCCACCGCATGCACTGGAGGCCCTGGCCCTCATCCCAAGACAGACCCCCCACACACACACTGGCCCAGTACCCTGACCCCTCCCACACCAACCTTGACCCAATCAAGGACCCAAATCAATGAGAGAAGGAAAAGGAGGCTACAGGTAGAAAAAGAGAAAAGATGTTCAATAGTAATTCATCCCGGGGGTGGTGCCCAGAGGCGGGGCCACCGAGAATAGCGGAAGACCTGCACTCCAGGGCACGCGCCCTCTGTCTGAGTGCGTTACCCTGTAACACACTGAGTTTGGAACAGTCAATCTGCATTTATTTTCTCATGTCTTGTGCTTCATTTCTGGATTATAAACATCAGACTACAAGGAACTTATTAATCACTTTCCAAAAAAAAAAAAAAAAAAAAAAAAAAGGATCAAATGGAGTAGAATTGGTTCTGGGCACTTATAATGGAACAGGAGGTCACTGTTAATCACATCTCAGATGCATACATGGACGATTCTTTTATTCACCTGCTGTTCAAAGTGGGCCAAACCGCCAGTTTCCTGAAACGTTGCTAAACTCTGCTGATTTTCTGTACAAACTATTCCTTCCAACCAACTATTCAGAGACTGAGTCTGCACCTATATTTGTTCCTACAAAATAGCTTAATTTTTCATGTACCAGTATAGAACAAAAAACAAAACGAATGCTGGTGAGGATGAGTGGGAATAAGAAACATACACCACTGATGAGAATGTAAATTAGTATCATCCCTCTGCATAAAAGTATGGAGGTACCACAAAAAGCTAAACATAAATTGATTATACCATCCAGCTATCTCATTCCCGACATATACCCAAAGGAATCAAAGCACGCATAGTAAAGAGATACCTGCATACACAGGAATGAGATACCTTTATCTATGTACTGTTCTCAATAGCCAAGCTATGAAGTCAATCTAGATGCCCATCAAGAGAAGAATTCGTAAACAAAACGTGCTGTATAAACCAGTCCTCATGGTGCATCCCAATGGCACAGGAGACCGAGGCAGGATGAGCTCAAGTTCCAGGCCAGTGTAACAAATTTGTAACAACCTATCTCCAAATTTTAAAAGGAACTAAGGAGAAGTTGTTCATTCATAGAGCCCCCTGGGTTCAATACCCACCCAGTACTATTTTTAAAAAAGAATTTCATGTATGTGGAAATAGAAAATCTGATGATTCATGTTCAAAAAGTAAATTCTCAAGTAAGTAGATTTTAGAAATTCTAAATACAGGGAAAAGAGAAGACAGAGTAGAAAATCACTAAAAGACAGTTTATGCAATACCATTCATATGTGGCAGCCTTGAGACTCATACACATACAGTCTCCTAGAAAAATAGGATGTGGGAATAGGGACCTGTTTAATAGATTAACAGGAGGAAATACCACATTGAGAAACATTAACTGAAGGGGGAAGAGATCTTAAATGTGGAAAAAGAGTTTTCTTATATGGGAATGTGGCATTTAGGCAAAGTTCAGTAAGGTTGTGACCTTCTTAACCAATCTTAGTTCTTAACCAATGAGGAACTGGGGGAGGGAACTTGTGTTTAAGAGGATAAAATACATATTGTACCTGCTCTGTAAAAGTCTCACTTCTGTTGCACTCTGTGTCTCCATGTTCTTTCCTTGGGATTGGACAAAAGATCCTGTTTCAGAAACACATGTGTGTGTGTGTGCGCACATACACACACACACACACACACACACAGAGAGAAATTAGTATTATTCAACTATAAAGAAAAATAATACCGTGTCATTTCAGGAAAATGGATAAAATTATAGACCACAGTATGAACAAAATAAGCAAGACTCAGAAAGACAAGTGGAAATGTGTTCTCTCATATGAGAAATCTTGAGGGAAAATATGATATTAAAGAGGGTCTATAAGGGATGGAGGAGGAAATCAGGGGGAGGAAGATTAATATAAAAGGAGGAAAAGGGAAATGTAGCTACAATCAAAGCTCCTTAGAATCACGTATGGAAATTTCCCAATGAAACCCATTATTCTGTACAATTAACATTCCCTAATGTGTATAACAAAATTAAACTAGATAAGCCTCTAATTGTTTTTTAATTTGTGAAAGGAAAAGACTGTGAATGGTAATGAAACCCATGAAAATATGTTCCACATCCTTAGTAATTAGAGAAATGCAAATTAATACTACAATGGGACACCATTTAATTTCATTAGAATGGCTAATGGAACAGACAATACCAAATGTTGGCAAGGATGTAGCAAAAATGGAACCCAGACACATTTCAGAAGGAATATAACATAAGGCATCCTTTAGAAAGAAGTTTGGAAATTTATAAAATATCATACATAAAGTTACCACATGACCCAGTAGTTTCACTTCTCAGAATCTACCTAAGAGAAAAAAAATACATGTCCCCAAAGAAAGAAAACTAAAGAATAACACAAAATAGTTCAACTTAGAAACATGTGTCTCCATGAATACTTGCAGAAGAATTTTCATAACAGCATTGTTCATGATATCCCAATACTGCAAATGCCTGTCAACTGGTAAACAAATATCAAAGTGTGGTATGCTTTGGAATAAAACATAACAAAACACAGGTAAGTGCCACAGCCTAGAAATTAAAAAACATTACCCTAAGTGGAGGAAGCCAGTTGCAGAGGACAACAAATTCTGGGTTTCTATTTATCTGAAATGCCTAGGAAATGAAAAAAAATTAAAAAAAAACCATGGTAATTATCTAGGGGTAGAGGTCAGAGTGGAGATTAAAATAGCAAATTGGGTGATTCTTGCACAAATCTATGAATTTAACACTGTTTCAACAAAAAAAAAATTAAAACAGAGAGATAATGCTTTAGGACACATAAGATGGAGTTGGGAGAACATTGCAAGTCACATCTGAGACCTGGGAGCACCCTCAACTGAACCGCTGAACTTGGCACCTGCCCAAGTGCATGCTGGCTGCATGGAGAGCCTTAACAGCAAGGGCTTTGGAGATGACCGCACTGTGAGTCGGGAATTAAGACTGCTGCTGGAAAAATTAAGCCATTTTGTAGGAAGGGACATGAGTACAATCTGAGTCTCTGGATAGTTTGGTGGAAGGAGTGGTTTGTACAGAAGATCAAGAGTTTAACATTGTTTCAGGAAACAGGTAGTTTGTCCCACTCAGGTCAGCATGGTGGGGTGGGGGTGCAGCCCAGATAAAGGTTGAGGTGTGGTTCCCAGTGAGATCTGATTAACAATGGCTTCTTGCTCCATTTCAAGTGCCTAGAACCAATGCTGCTCCATTTGATTTTTTTTCCCTGACAGTGGCAAATAAAATAAGTTCCCTACAATCTGAAGTTTATGGTCAGACATGAAGGAAAAGTCATAAGGAAATAAGAGTAAAATGAATACCTCCCTGGAGACCTCAGGTTGCTGGCTCCAGACCCTCTTGCACCCCCGGAATCCTGTCAGCCTCCTGCAGAATGTGCAAAGGGCTTGGGGCATGGGCTAGAAGCAGCAGCCAGAGGCAGGGCCAAGGTTAGCTCAGGTCCCTACAGCTCTTGCCCATCCAGAGTACAGGACTGGAGGTTGTGACCTGACCCTGACCTGGGCCTGACCAACTCTAGGCAGTCCCTGATATGCCCCAAGTCCTACCATTTTTCACCCCTACTACAGTCCTGACCATGTATTCACTGGGGATCTCAAACACAGGAGGCACTGACTCAATCCCAAGATAGACCGCCCCACAGACACAGTACCCTGGCCCTCCCATACGTAGTGTTGCCCCCACCCTGACAGCACTGTGACCTATATTGGGAATGGCTGGCCCACAGTGCAATCTATTCCTCTTATAAATTAATGAGAAAACCTAAAGGAGGCTACACCCCACACAGCATGTGAATCTTTGAAACATGGAGTTTTGCAAAGGAGAACAATTTCCTTGAAAGGGGGCCAAGGTTTATTGCTACTTATGGGATGAAGAACTGGGGTGAACGTAGGCATCCACAAGAATGATGGGCGTTTGTGGTCTGTAACTCATTATCAGACTTCATGGAAAATAGTGTGCGGCATTTGTGTGATCTTGGGTGGGGTTTTCAGCCCCCTGACATCAAAATGTCACCCATCAGACCCCAGTATAGGCCCAAGGGGAGTCAGTGGTTTCAATAGGAGCAGATGTCACAGCCCGGAAAAGTAACCTAGGAAAACATTATCACCCTAAACCCCCATCTCATAGATATTATCTCCTCCAAATCTTCAAGAGATGAATACTCTATTGCTCAGTGGCCTGTCCTCCAAAGTTAGTAACATTTAAAGTCCACAAAAAGCAAGTAACTACCAGCGAACAAGAGAAACTAAAGGGTTTATTCAGGTTTCTCCTCAATTTCAGTAAGGCCCCTGAAATCTACCCAGGCTGCTGCTCCATTGAAAAGTGTCTCTTCTTAATTCACTGCTGAGTCCTTCATGGTAAGGCTGTGCCACAGTTTGTTTCACCCTTCACCACGAGGGTGGGCCAGGGAGTGTTGTGGTGTTTCTAGTTTGGGTTATGTCAAATAAAGCCACCTTGTACAATTGTATTTAGATATCCACATGGACATGAGTCTTCACTCTTCTGGGATAAGCACCCAGGAATGCAGTCACTGGGCCTATGTTAAGTGCATGTTTACTTTTATCATTTTTTTATTTAAATGATTTTATTTTTTTAAATACATGACAGTGGAATGCATTACAATCCTTATTACAAATATAGAACACAATTTTTCATATCATTGTATATAAAGTATGTTCACACCAATTCATGTCTTTATACATGTACTTTAGGTTTTTTTGCATTACAATTCTTATTGTACATATATACCATAATTTTTCATATCTATGTTTGTATATAAAGTAGGTTGATACCCAATTCATGTCTTCATATATGTA